ATCATTCGTAATAAAATTTGAATTCGAATGAAATGCCAGGCTTACGTATATCCCCGAGGGATGTTGTAACTTAAAATCAGCGAGACCGTTCTCCTGCATTTTTGTGACCGAAATCTGACCGCACACACGGTAACATTTACTTTCATAGGATATTATGGGGCAACTGCAACAAAAGGAAGAAACCAAGCGGAGCAAGGAGCGTGCCTTGGAATTTCGAGGAATATATTTCAACGCGTAATATATTTCGGAATTATATTCGCAACGCGACGCTTACGTAATGCTACACAGACTACCGGTATATAGTCGTTGTATAACATCTCGCGAAACTTATATTTAAAAAGAGATGAATGAGAGAAAAAGAGAGAGAGAGAGAGAGAGAGAGAAAGAAAGAAAAAAAGAGAAATATTTATACGTCTATTATAGCCGTTATGCTACCTATGCTCCTTCAACCATACTCTCTCTCTCTCTCTCTCTCTCTCTCTCTCTCTCTCTCTCTCTCGCGCCGCTTTTTTTATTTAATTTACTTTACTCTACTATAGGCTACATAATACTTATAACGGAAACAAAGCAATACCTGCTATACAATATTTTTATTTTTATTTTTCACTGCGCATCTTTTGTTATAAATTTAATAAACTTTTGCTATCAAATAATTGATTTAGCGATTCAATTTTATAAAGTTTAATTTAATATACTATATACATTGTGTGTGCGTGTGCGTGTGCGTGTGTGTGTGTGTGTGCGTATATATCGTAGAGAAATTTTGTATTTTCTCTCCGCTTTTTCTCACATTTCTTAAATAATAGCCATGCATTGCAAAGCAAAATCGATTTGTAACTAATTAACATGGTTTTTTTTAGAAGAAGAAACGAATGAACTTTATAGTAACGACGATGCGACTAAAGTATCGAATTATAAGTAGAAAAGCAAGCTCATAAATTGAAAAAAACTTTCGAAACTTATTAAAAGTTTAATATGCTAGTTGATTAGGTTCAAAAAGAAAGAGAGGGGGGGGGAGAAAAAAAGGGAAATATATGATAACATGTGAAATGAATAATAACATTCACAATCAATTGCAATCAGTTTAAATTTATATATCTTCTTTTCATGTGCATTTTCATGTTGACATGAATAAATATCTCATTATTATGTTACACGCGACTATTTTAATATTTTTAATGTGTTACAGTATAAGAACTATTTCAACATCACATCATTTAATATCAATTACACGTAACTGGTTAACTATGGAATAATCTCCATAAACAAATTTTCTTTTTGATGATAAATTGTTTATTGAATCTTTCCATTTAAAACATTGTTGTATGATATTTATTTTTAAAAGTCAAATTACTAATATGGATGGATTTTGAAGGATTAAAACTAAAAATTTGTTACAAGAACAAATCTAATTAATAATCATTAGCACGTATTATTTAATAAATTATATAATATATGATAATAAAATATTTCCTCCTTTCCTTTATATTTTCGATATATCTATAATAAAAAAATTGTTGAATATTATTATCTTGCACAAATTTATATAATAATATTTGACTCTGGAATAAGATAGCATACAAGATTAAAAAGATCTTCTATTAAAAAATATCTATAAAAAGTGAAAAAGAAAAAAGAATGCATCCAAATATTAATAATATTTCTTTACTATAGATATTATATATACGTATTATAGATATTTAATTTATTTTTATTTTATATAAAATTATTGACAGCGAGAAAAGGTAAATATTTCATTCCTCTTTGCATACATAAGCTCTATAAAGATATTTTAATAAAAGCTTTATATTTTAAATATGTTAGATATATTTGTTATAGTTTTATATGTTTCTTCTTTTCCTTATTTCTTATCATTCACCTAATAACTAAACGCCAGTGAACTTAAATAAGAAATATAATAAAAAATATATTAAGAAATATAATATTAATTTGACTAGTTTAAGTTTCGAGTTAAAGTTAACTATAATTTTCATATGATTCTTAGGTTTGTATCTAATAATTATTACAATGTATTATTGTTGCTTAATACGACATTAAACTGTATTAGTAAATTATCAAATTAGTTGATCATATGTCAATAACAATAAGTTGTATTCGGTAAGCTTCATACGTGTGCGTTTCAATACGCATAATGGATCAGTGGACATTTACATATATTCCAGAATTTAATCATTTGCATTAATCTCTCCTAATCCATCCGTTTCAAAGCAACAGTTCTGTGAGATGTTATGTATACTATTAATGGAACCATTATAACTTCAAATCAGAATAAAAGGTAATTTGATTCTCATCAACACGGACAACGTGAAACAGCGAAGCTGTTTACAATTGCATTGATTTGAAAATATAAATACGAAACCCGCGTGTGTTATAGCAGCATTCAAGATAAATAAAATTTGAAAAAATTATTATTTTATGCATCGAATTTTCTATTTGCATGCTCATTGATTTTTTACAAGAAGATTTAATAAAGTAGTTATATAATTTTTTCGAAAAAAGTTGTTTTTAAATTTAAACTTTTTGTAAAATTCGTAAAATTTGTAAAATATTCGTCTTTGTTCCAAAATATCTTAAATCATGAACGATAAATTCAAATAACCAATTAATTTAGCAACTAACAAGTAATACTCACCCCATGGTTTCTCCGCCATCGTTTAATGCCCCCCCAGGCCTCTTCCTCTTCGAAGGATCCTAGAGGCACGAACTCACAACACTCACGGAAATGCTGTTAATTGCAATTGCGCGCGTATTAATTATCAGAGTACGATAATCACGCGGCATTTTGCATGGCATTCCCAACGTTACCCGAACGCGACCCGACAATCCCGCGAAATACGTGAAATATTATTAACAAATCATGTATCACGGCTTTCCGTTTGAATCATCCGATCCAATGATTCGCTCTCAATTCGCAAATGGTAATAGAGAAATTGTATTCGAATTGGCGAAAAATTCGAAATTCGCGTCTGCACCTCGATTTCAATTTTAAACGACTGAAACGCGCGAAACACACGTCTGATGCTTCGTTAAATCGACGTTGTTAGCCGCGATGCCGTTATCGAGCTGCTAATCATGAGAGTTAATCAATCGCGATGTCGGCGTTCGGTAATCGTTAATTGCTCGCGGGGAACGATCGCGATGGCGAGGGATAATACGCAACAACACGCGGGGCGGCTCACGCCCGCTATATAACCCATTCGCTCGAGCGTCGATGATAGTGCGGCGACCTTGTGTACGCATACAGCGCGCTGTGTACGTTACAACACAAACATGAAGGCTACGTGCCAGTCTGTCCTGTGAAATATTTAACGTATTGTAAAATAAATACACGCCGTAAAATATCATGTTCTTTGCTTTCCAAATGGTGAAGTGGTAAATTTGTGTGTATACAGAATATGTCACGCTATACGCCGCGTGGCAGAAAAACGAAAGACGAATGTTGTGTATCAATTGATTCTTCTGGTCACTGTAAAATATTTAACGATAAAAATATGTTGTACAATACAAGTACTTATTAGGATTCTGTTCTTTGTATTTAAAACTAACATTATTGAACAGATTGCTACTATACATATTTCGTGCTTCATTCATTGTGGATTCATTAGCGTCGTCGAAATCAATGATTAATTTCTTTCGATTAGAAAGATTAAAATTGGTACTTAAATTTTAATTCAACGATTATACTATATGTAATTCTCGCTATTTAACCAACTTTGCTTTTCAATTTCTAATGTATGAATACATATACTGTTAAGTCAGCTCAGCAAATTGGTTACTTTATTAATTAGCAAACTTTAACATTATACACAAAGTTAATTGGTTTAATAAAAATATACAAATAGATTACTAATTCCTCTACTTAATAAATTAATTTAACATAAACTGTAGTACAGATAAAATCGAAGAATAATATTAGCTGAATATATATGAATATAACAAAGCGCATCAATATTAAATAAGTTATGAAAATTGATGGTAAATTACTATGCAATACGAATGTGCAAATTCTATATATAATACAGCCAATTTTGAATATTTCAAATAGTCATAACCTACGTCAATTTTTCTCCTACGATTTTCGATTTTAAGCTCTAGAATATGCTGTTATTTAGATTATGCAGTATTTGTATATCTTGTATATTAATTGTAAGATGCACAAGTGAATCTTATTGAATATTTTATATACAGATAAATATACAGACTTTTTTGGCAACTTTAACAATAATTTAATTTTTTCAAAATTTTATTATGATTATTTTTTATAGCTCTTGAAAGATTTTAGATATTTTATTAGATTGCAAATTAAAATTTTTGTGTAATAAATTTTTTCTAAAAAAATAAATTTGTCCAAATATATAAAATTAATTTACTCGAATAATAAAAAAATAAGAAATATTGATTGATATCTAATCAATATACATTTTATTTTATTTTATTTTATTTTATTCGTGATATTCTATTGTTTGTATCTATATGTGTACATATATAAAAGTAATAATAAATGTATATTTATTTAAAGAAATAGTTATAAAATAAACATGGTTGCAAAAAATAATTATAGAAAAAAATATATATAAACAAATATATTGTCTCTCTAACGCAATATCTATAATTTGATTAACGCTTTGTGATTCTATTTTTACAATTTCGCGTGTAATATCTCGGCACTTTGACGATATATGATGATGATCGTGTTAAAAGCTACCCATTTCATCGACTCATTTCATTGTTTTTGTATCCTTGTAAGACTCGTCGTGAGATAGCAATGTTCCTCAATCACCGCTGATTTTGTGTCGGCAATCGGTGACATCGCGAAGCATCCGAAATACAATTCTCTTGTAAACAAGGGCAGATATTCAGACCGGATACGAAGACTTGCGGCGTGCATTTTAATGAACTCGCTGTCCAATCTTGTTTTCCAGTGGCATAAGTTCCTTCGGGAGGACAAAGAGGAAACCAAGAAGAGAGGAAGGGAGGGAGAGAGAGAGAGAGAGAGAGAGAAAGTGCTGCCGGTGGCGGCAGTGGAGGCAACGACGGAGGGCGTAGGGGAAGACGGCGGGGTGAACCGGAATCGGAAATGGCTGCGAGGTGGCTGCTACTGCCGCTGGCGCTCCTCGCCGCCCACACAGCGGCTCTTCCTGATTTCATTAGGATAGGTGAGTATCTTTCCCAGTTTCCCCCGGCGTGAAAGCCACGACCCTTTCGACCGCTTTCAATGGCGTCAGTAAAATTATTATCAATGTCCCAATCGATAATATCCACGAGTGAAGAAACGAAAGCACGACTTGGCTTCGAGATAATTCCAAGATGAAGCTTCGCGAGTATTATAAGCAGATAAAATCTTATTCTTCATTATTAATTTCAAATGAATCTAATGGAATACGATGTAATCGTAGGCTTAAAATAATAATGATTACAGCACGCGCTAGTTTTTCAGCGTAAAAGCGTTCGAAATGATATAATTTTGTTTCATCTTTAAAAGAATTATAACAGTTATAAATGCGAGAACATGCTAATTTTTCTAATGTCTAGCTTCATCGTTTGCTTAACATTATTATTTGTTCCTTTTTATCTCTTTTATGTTTTGATCGATAATGATAATCAGTTATATTTTCAGAGTTTTATTTAAAAAAAAAAATTATTTTTTGATTAATCATCGTCTTATTTCTTTAATCTACAGTTCCTTGCTTTACATACTATTATAAATTGCAGTATACAATCATCAAAATATCGTTAAACTATAGCGGCTTCGTGAAAATGTTTTGCCGGCCAAGCAAATAATTGAAATTAATGGCAACGATAAAAGGTTGCGCTGCTAACGGTGCTCTATTTAATTGGCATTGATGGTAGTGCAAGTGGAACACAGGCAACGTGACGCGGATAACATGCATTTTACCGTGTGCGACGACAATTACCGAAGTTCTGGCTGCTGCGCGTCAGAGAGAAAATCACTCCGATAGCAACCACGCGTGTACTGCTGCGCATGTAGCGGATATATAAACAAGAGGTATTTCACAGTTAAATGTCGCTAACCATCTGCCTGCGGATATATTGAAAGTAGCTGGCTCTGCAGTGAACGACAGACACGATGATACAGCATATTTCGCTTACAAGTCATAAAAATCTGCAAAATCTCGCGGTATATATAAATTTCCGAAATATATATAATATATTTTTTAAAGGTTTCTCACGTAAAGGCAACGACTGAGCGATAATTTAACATTTTAAATTGAGAAAAAATATTAAGAATTTTTGTGTTCTCTCAAGCATTTACATAAAAATACTAAGTAGTATTTTACAAAAATAGTATTATATAATTGCTATTTGTATTTTGTCATAATCAAAAAGATAAAAGTATTAATCTTTGATATAAATATTAAAAATAACACTCCATTAAAAATTAATAATAAAATAATATAATATTAATATGTAATATAATTAATATAATAAAGATATAAGATGTAAGACATTTATATGATATAAATATAAAGATTTTTCTTGATATTGCAGTATACGTTGTATTTTTGTTTTATGATGCAAAATATTCTCATATATTCTCGTTTTTATACAGAAAGGACTTTAAAAAAATATGTTTTAATTCTGTTGCAAAAATTTTTGTTTTTTTACATGAAAACCAAAGGTATTTAAATTTGCGTACAGAAAATTACGAGATTGTAAAATTTTCATCGATATTTTCTAATAGAAAATAAAATCTCGTCTATTTAATGGAATGGATATTCCCTCTGTTACATGGTTTGACACACACGCTATTGTTGACTAAAAACAAAATTAATGATGTTACTGTTATTGGAATCTAGTAGTATAACGTAACGCTATACCGGCTACGATATTTCTACGTCTGAAAAATCATCGATTTACGCACATTTGAAAAATAAATATGACAGGAACAGCGCCTCGCTTGCACATCAGCTTTTTGCAGTCTTATCTCTTGAAAATATAATAATAAAACAACAGTTCGTACATATTTTACGCATATGCGAAACTGTCACGTCTCTGTTTAATATTATGATTGTCATTTCCCGACGACGCGCGGATGTACGCGCGGATGTACGTGATACACCGAATGCGCCCGACTATACTCTCTGAACTTTTATCGAAACGTAAATTCACGATGCATTCGATTTCCGAACGCTTTCTTTCCCGAGGTGGCGAGAGAGAGAAAGAGAGAGAGAGAGAGAGAGAGAGGCAAAAGCGGATCGATATAGGTACACGTCCGAGCTCAGGGAGATACGTGCCGTACTTGCTGTGAGTTTTGATGCATTCGTTCGTACTACATCCGTACGCTTGTTCCGCGGCACATCACCAATGCCGTGTATGGCCAATAGCTTTCTGTATCGAAAAGCTAGAAAAGGAAGAAATTTACTGAAGTGGTATGAAGGGAGACTAGGGCGAGAAAGAGAGAAATAGAGAGAGAGAAAAGCTAGAAATTCTTTTAAGCTTACATTACATCGATTGAATTTTAAGCGTTTCGAATTTCTTAGTCTTCTAATTTTTCCAGCTCTACTTTGGCGCCAGTTCAATCCGTTCAACTTTCTTTTGCCACTTTCGTCATTGTATTATTTCTATCTGCTTTTTCCATCATTATTGGTAGTTGAATAATTTATACATAGTTTCCCTCTTTTAAAAAAATTACATTTGCAAGTGGAATAGAGTTGAGGGAGAGTGTAAAAATCTGCTTTCATTCTGACAAAAATATATACAATAGTACGATATGTAACTCTTTTTTAATTTATTATGCAATTCAAACGTGTAATAAATGCCTATGTATAACGGATTATGCACAATATAGTTGTACTAAAAAAATATAACCGGGTTTACAATTTATGCGTTCACAAAGCTATCTTTTACCGCGCCATTGTAATCGGGATCACAAGCAATCTTTTGTTTTAGAGCAGCGACTCATTATTCGCTCGTTTTGAATTCAACGTTATTATAAACCGGGACTGTCACATCGACGCGAAAATTAAAAGCGGCGCGGGCGCGCGCGCGCCACAGCCCATGTAGTTTTCGTGATTTATTTGAGTCAACCGGCGGTGGCGAGTTTATTTATTCACACGCGTAATTAAATTTCGCGGTTTGATATACGGAATACTAAGAATGAGCTCCCCAATGTATTTCGATGGGGCCAATTTAACATTTTTATTGCGTCGTACGATTGCATACGGAAACGACGACAGACTGTTGGCATCCTCAATCACTCCGTGCGAAATAATTTACTAGCGATCAATGAATATTCAAGTTCGATTAAATCGATGCGGTTTGGCCTGGAAAGAAGAGGTAACGTCTAATTTATGTAAGTGTATATTTTTGCCGATGATGTTCGCGACAATTTTACAACCGGTTGTCACTACGTGCCCGTAAAACGTTTAACGACATTCGCAGCACGAATTCGATTGATCGCTCGATAAGCCGTTGTACCTCGAAGTGTTATTGCAAGCTTTTTTGCCACATCCGCTAGCTTCCGCCTTCTCCCCTTGACGAAAATGTTACAGATGTACTAATTTCATTTCCACGTTGTGAATCTGGCAAAAAAGTCGCGATGGAATTTATCTTCCCACTGAGAGTACTATATATGTGTTTCCGTTTTTCTTCATTTCGCGTTCACATTCTCAAGCTCATACATTCACATTTTCGTCCTCGTTCGCATTATTAGGCTCATTATTGTCACAATGAGCGTGGCGAATCGTGCAGGCAGTCTTACGAGGTACGCCAAAGAGAATCGATAGCGGGTCGCTAACGAGAGACGTAAATCTATCCCGCAAATTCTATAAATCGCAGAGTCAAGCCGGCGCAGCTGCTCGTACAGTTACTTTATGACGTACACGAGATTAAAATCAATTTATGGCGCCAATTTCTCCTAACCGAATGAATTGGAAGGCGCGGAATTTCAGCGGACCACACGAAGAAACTGTCGCGAATACTTATGCGATGCGAAATGATGGAAACGGATGGCAACGGATGGAACGTGTACGTACAGTTACTCGCGTCGCTTTCCTCGATCGTATAAAAATAAATCTGTATTTACATATGGAAACTTTCGATTGGGATGCTATCATTTTAAGTACATAGATATTTTACAAACTTCCAATCCAATTTCGTTGTGTAGCAGTCAAATTATGATTTAGCGTTGTGTTATTTGTTATTTCATTTCTGACATTTCACTTTTTTAAACAAATCCTCTTTATTTGTGTGATGTTACTCTCGATAGTAGATAAAATTTTTCAAATAACATTCTTTGATAAGAAATTAATAAATTAATATATTTTTAAAATCTGTTAGAATCTCCATTGTGAAAAATATTTGTTGTTTAATAAAATTGTTTAAAAATATTAACCTTAGGAGTATACACTCCTATTTTGCCTACGTAAAGTACACACTTGAGTCTCGAGGACCCCATCCATACTTGTTATTGTAACTCCAGCAAAAATAGACTTATTTTAATTAATTTTTTTTCAATTTGATAGAGAATTGATCAAAGAACAAATCTATAATTGATAAATGTCGATAGAATTAAGGAGTTCCAAGATATACGGGTTCAAGAAGAAAGGAAAGCTCAAAAATGCGAAAAAATCTCGATTTAGCACCTTTTCCAAAAAATCATATCTCTTATGTTTATAGACCGATTTGAAAAATTTTTGAAAATTCTGAAAGAGCATACTTGAAATAGTAATAAAAAAAATTTGGCGATTCGATATTTTAATTTTTTAACAAAACTGTAAGCAGTCCCGGAGCCCCCATGCTTACTTCAACTGTTCGGTTGTTGAGTGACAATTGCCGCGCGTCAACACGTCTTCCTACTGAGGAGATTCCAAACTTTTTTTACGTCAATATCCCAAACCTCTCCCCTTCCAATTTCAGAAATGCCAAACCGAGAAAACAGAGCTGAAGTACCTGGGACCTCCAGTGTGCATTTCTAGGATTAATACAATTTGTTAAACTGATGCATATATTAAAATGTATTATATTCAAACTTACATAAAAAAAATTCTTGCTAAGATTATAAGAATTATTTAATTCGTATTTAATTGTATATATTTTTTAAAATATTAATTCAATATTTTAAATCGCATGTATTAAAATTGAAATTAAAATTAAAATATTTTATATCTAAGCTGACATCAAAAGATTCTTGCCAAGACGTCAGAAAACGCTGAATAGACGTAGCACGTAAACGCATGCGCATAAAATACATTAAACAGTGAAGTTACGGTACGCGGAACACGGTTCCAGCCGGGATCATCTCGCGTAGGTGTAAATAGACCATAAATCTTTATCCCGCGCCGTCGGTGGACAGAGAAACGGATAGATAGAAGGTTGGATAAAAATATCCGGTGATGGTGGTCGCGGACGGAAAATAAGGAGGAGTGCACGCGTGGATCTCGTCAAAGTAGCACCCTTTAATATGGATGCGTGATTTCCCAGGCGGGCTGTTTCATCCGTCGGACGACAAGCAGGAAGTGGCCTTTCGCTACGCCGCGGAGAAGATCAACGCCAACCGGGACATCCTGCCCAAGTCTCGCCTCAGCGCTCAGGTCGAGGTGATACAGCCGCAGGATAGTTTCCACGCCTCAAAACGAGGTGAGTTTCATAATTGAATCGGAAATACTCGTTGGATCGCACGCGAGGTTCCGCCATCCTTTGCACGCGTTTCAAAAATTTTCTCGCCCGAGATCGACTGCTATATTTTCATCGTCGTTCATCAGTGTCAATCAGTACAACGCGTTTTTTTTTTCTTTAAAGCTATCTCTCTTTTATCTAACGTGGAAAATTGAAATTTGCATTGTTAATTACTGTCTGCCTTTAATTTTTCATTTCTTCATTACACCACGCACTTAAGTAAAATATTTTTCAAATATATTTGAAATTTTAAAAAATGTTTACCTATGCACATGCATTTAGGATGAGAAGTATAAATTTTATGATTCTTTAGCATTTTTAAAATTCAATTCAAATATTATGCATTTGAAAGAATTCCGAACGAAGATTTTACGTTAAATTCTTCTACATGTTTTTATTACGACAGGATTTATCTCTCTCATATCAATTAAAGAAGCGAAAAGAAGTGCAAAAGATTTCTTCTTTATCAATATCGTACAGTTTAGAAATGTTAAAACTGAAAAGAAGTTACACAAAAGAAACGGATAAAATTGCTTCAGGTTGGCGATATCGATAAAAGTCGAGTAGTTAAAGGGCAGCTTATGCTGTGCGAGCAAGGGGCTATTATTTTGTCGGGAAACTTCGTTATGCATATATGCGGCATGCCGAATCGCGCTTAACTGTCTCGAAAGTTCGTGCGACTTGTCTGATGCGCGAAATAAACTCCATTTACGCGATTAAGGATTCGAGAGGTTGTTGTTAGCGTGAAGCTTCACTCCCGTCAATACTGAGAACAGGGCGCCACCAGCTGATTCCTGGTGTGACGTTCTCCAATACCAGTAGAGCTTCCTAACATCCTTATCTCAGGTGAAGCGAAGCCTCTCTAACGCTGAATCTCGTTACTTGCAGTTTCGGCATGTCTAATGCATCGCGTTCGTGAATCGAAGTTAGTTTCAATGTGATAAAAATTTTACTTCACTCGGATACGTACTTTGCAATGTAATGGCAATCGCTCGCGCAAATCAGTTTTATTTTTAATAACATTTAATAGTTGTACTTTTTTGTAAAAATCTTCTATCTAAATTTTTATGTAGTTATATATAAGTCAATTTAAAATAACATTTAAATTAGTCTATATAACAAGTGAAAATGATTTTATTCTTTTATTTTTAAAATCAATATTAAATTTTTTTTCCATGTTAAAAGTACATATCTACATAAAAAGTGCCCACAACTAACTATTTACTATATGTAAAAAATGATGTGCCATCAAATAATGCAATTTGCAAATCTTTTGAAATCTATACAAGATGTTCTTTGAATACATTGTCATACTCAAAAGGGCAATTCTTTGGTTTATTAATTTCAAGTAAAAAAGTTCATATTAAACATGTGTCCTTAGCGGCTTAGTTTCCGAAACATAGGGTGTTTTTAAATAAAATATTATTACTACGAAAATATTTATATTATTATTACAAATATTAATATTAATATTAATATTATTGCTACAAATTAGGACAGATTATTACTACACGTTTAAATTTTTTTGAAAACACCCTATTTCGAAAACTAAGCCGCTTAATGTTTATATGATTTTTTTTACTTAAAATAAACGAAAGAATTGTCCCCTTGAGTATGGCAATGAATTGTATTTAAGGAACATCCTGATTCTGCATATTGTAAATGCAAGATCATGATGATTTTGCAGTATCTTCTTTCAAAATGTCAAAAAATGTTAAGATATAAACAATAATAATAAATTAAAAGAAAATATCTCAGTATATTTAAATATTTGAATTTTTTAAATATTACGTTCTATATTTGAATTACATGACATTTTCTTTCACATAACTTTTTATCTTTCATATCTTATTCAAAAGACATGGCAATATATATGAGAAATTGTCTCTTGATTCAGAAATGCTATGAATTTCATTTCTTTGTCAGAAAAGTCATGGGGGTCCAATATGAAAATAACTCTGTATAATATGTATAATACAATCCTGCAGTTAGTCGCATAGCTATATACATATATGCAGCCGGAAATTAATAACGTCCAGCACAAAATAATAACTCGGCGGATATTTGCGCATGGAATTAACCAGGGCCAACGTAATTACCATGTCGAGTTACTAAATGATTAAAGCGAACGGTGCATTCTAAATATGCACACTGAAGTCGCATGCCGGCGCATCGGTCAAGCCGCTGCGAATGTGTGTGCGCGCGCGCGCGCGCGCGCGCAAGAGCGTGTGAACCGCTGCAAACGGCAAAGCGCGCGTACAGCGGAAGAGGGGAGGGTGGCGGGTAGCCGAATTTGGCGGTGCTCCAGCACGGTATTACACCGTGAAAGCAATTTTATTGATAAACTTCTGTTTGCCAGAAGTTAACAAATCTCCTTGGGACACGCCGATCGCTGGTACGCCCGAGCTGGCCGGGCACAATCGCGCCGCGCGTTCGGCGACGCACGGATTCGTTGCCGTATAGGTGATTCAAAAAAATTTATCTCCCCCTGTAAATCAGCGGCGAAATGGCACAGTGCAGAGTAACGAGTATTCTGTCGGACGTGTAACTCAAACTTCGTTAACAATAGAGTATATATACTACACTATAATGGCGAACATGAGATTCGAGCTCTGTTAACAATGGCGTATAATGGGAATATAATGCGAATTATGCAAGATTCAAGCTTTGTGGATAATAATGTAGAATGGGATTAGGAGCATGACCTCGAAAATCCCAGATATTAATGCTATTTTATCTAGATATTATCGCAAGTCGCATGAGAAATGCAAATATTTTATATATTTTTTAAATAATAAAAAAATATAAGTATAAAAAAAGATAATCAATTTATCTGTAATTAAGACATTTCGACATATCAAATATGAACAATATCTTATCATATTTGTTTTAGATAAATAAAACTTCATTATATTTAAATGTTTTCAATTAGAAATCAAATTTTATACTTAAAGTATTCAAATATTTAAAAGTACATAAGAAATATGCACAATTTCATCAATGAGAAGAAAGATGAAAGAAAGATGATATAAATAATATAATAAATAAAATAGTAAATAAGAAAAGAAATAGCTTCATGTTGTTTTAATCGTTTTAATCGAAATGAAAAAAGACATCGATATTCAACATCATTTATCCTACATAAATTATAAATATTATAAGTATTGATATAAAATAAAAATGTAGAAAACGTTGCGTTAAAGTTTCAAATAACGTTGTATTCTATAACTTAAATTACATCTTCTTACATAAGTCGTACGTTTCGTTCCACTTCAGACCTTAATAAATAAAAATGTGTTGCCAATATTAAATATTGTATTATGTATTGTATTGTACGTTGACCGATGCTATCCATTTGTTTGGTTAGCGACGCAATTACTTCACAGTCGCTCGAGAGAAAGAATTAAAGAGGAGAAAAGAAGTAGTACTGATAAACGGTTGTCTGCGACGTCGGACGCAATAGCGGGATAAATTAAATGCTGGAAATTCACGTCAGGTCCCGTGTTCTTCTCGTCGTTTAGGTTTCGTTCGCTTCCCCCCCCCCCTCCCCCGGGGGGCGATGAACCTCTTTTCGTTCGACAAACAGAAAGAGCGGATGGCCGTTTGGGCGGTCTCGCCTCGCGTCTTTTTACGACGGAAAAACATCGGTGAATGCGGTTCGCCTTTTGTTCACTTCGTACCTTTCCCATCGCGCGGGCACAGCAGCGCGGGTTGTTGGTAATACAGTTTTACGATTTTGCCTGGCTGTCTCGGAATTTTCGGTAATACTACAGCCCCGTCGTTCTCCATCGTGAAATCCCCAGTTAGAACGGGAGTTAACGAGGACGCGCGCATTCGATTATGCGCGCCGCTCCACCTCGTGCCTCGTTGGAAAAAAAGCGCACGGGGCGATAGCGGGCAAACACTAAACAGTATGGCAGTTTCGCCAGAGACAGTTGTCGAGCTCGCTCCATATGCATTGCGCGATAATCTGGGCGAACAGAGATTTTCCCCAGTTCTTTCCGTTTATTTTTGCTAAGGTTGAGAAAATACTTTGCCAAGTAAGCCAAATGGAAATAATATTCCTTTAACAATGAAAATGTCTGCGATTTCCAAAAAATAAACTTGAACTGAAAAGGAATGCAATATATGCGGCAAAGTTTTATTCTTAATTTAGATTAATGTATAGATTATTTATTTAGATTGTAAAAATATACTTATTAATTTGTATAAAATACGTTTTAAAATATTTAAAAAATTTTAAGATTTTTGTTAAAATATTAATTTGGGAATTATATGGATTTGGGTAATTTTTCCGGAATAAAAATACGTGATGTACACAGGGTGTCTCGTACTCAATGGTACAGTGCTTGTGGACAGGTAGTGTGGACCAAACTGAACAAAAAAGTCCTCTACCATTTTGCGATCTTCGCAATAGTTATCGAGATACCAATCATTTAAAAAAAAGAACAAATTTTACATAATGGCCAAGTTTTTGCTTCACTATGATTCTATTGATCATTTTAATATAACTTTAAGTCTGTTTAACAAAACTTAAAGTTATTTGGAAAGACAATGGCATTAAACCTTTGCTGCAAATATATATTTTGAATAATTTAAACGATTTATTAAAAAAATATTTTTCTGGTTTGGAATAAAATATTTTTGTCTCTACTCCTTATGTCTAATCAAATACTTGGCAATCTGTATGATCTCATATTTGTTTTTGGACAACTTTTATTTGTTAAAATAATATTTTTGATTTAGATAAGATGTACCTAATGTACGATACACTTGTACATACTTGGCGTACATTTTTTTTAATGATTAGTATCTCAATAACTATTGCAAAGATCACAAAATGGTATAGAGAACTTTTTTGTTTAGTTAGTTTGGCCCGCCTACCTCCCCTCAAGCGCTACTGTACCATTGAGTACTAGACACCTTGTATATATTATATTATATATATTCTAACGAAATTT